TCGATTCAAAATATCAGGTATGGGAGGAACTCTATCGATACTTCTAAATATAGGATCGTATCGAACATCCCTAGTGTCAAGATGTATAACCCGGGGTACCAACGGAGCTATTTTGCGGCGTCATGCAAATAATTTTAATTTTTCATTTGCATTTTCTCGAGTGTTGTGCACCGATTTTGGGAAAATTATATTCATGTGTCTACATTATTCATAATAAGAAGAGGTAAACTGTTGCTAAATATAGTAATTTTGACATTAAGTCTACAAATAGGTATAATTTTATCTTCCTGAATTTAACAAAATGTCATTACATGAGGCTTACTAGAAACATAGCGAACACTATAGATTTCAGATATAAGATAGGGACGGCAGAACTGGAAAAGCTTCATGTAGTAAAAGACCTAGGGGTATACATTGATGAGAAACTCTCATTCATCACTCACGTAGAGCACATCGTAAATGATGCAAATAGAACACTAGGGTTCATAAACAGGACATGCAGAGAATTTACGAACCCAAAAACGCTTCTTTCATTGTACTACGCTTATATACACAACAAAGTGATGTTTGCATCAGTAATATGGAATCCGTCTTACAATGTACATATAGCCAGGATAGAAAGAATTCAACACAAATTTTTGAAGATGTTAGCACATAAAACTCACCAACCTGTTACAGATCATCATTATACGCAAATTATGAAACAGTTCAATATGATTTCCTTAAAAGATAGAAGAACGATTTCTGATATTTGCTGCGTTCATAAATTGTTGAATGGCCTCACTGACTGTCCGGATCTTTTGGCAAACTTGAACTTTAACACTCCTGATAGAACGTTTAGAACCTATCATCTGTTTAGAATACCGTTCCGTAGAACTAATCTTGGTCTTAATTCCCCTTTGGTCAGGGCTCAAAAAAATCATAATAATTTCTGTAATATAGATTTATTTAACATTAGCTTGACTTTCCTGAAAAAGGCTTTAAAGTATGAGTATTACAGCTCTATGGTAGACTAAAATCGAAATATTTTATTTTTTTACATAACTCAAGTTATCACCTCCAATATCATTTCTGGTATAATTTCAATTTAATTTTTATTTCAGTTTTAATTAAACGTAAGTAAATGTTAAATTATGTATACTCCTTTTATTAAAAAAGTTAAATTAATAGTTTATTGCTTATAATTAGAACTACTCACTGAGTTTATGTTGTTACAACAATATCGGAAGATAAAAAAAAAATATTAATATTGAAGTATTCAATAATGTAATATATGTATACGATATTTTATGTAAGTTTAGTTTTAGTTCACTGAGGGTGTGTGTTGGGTTTACCTGTTAACACCCTAAACTGTATATAAATAAATAAAGACGGACAGATACTCTTGCGGAAACCGAGATGAAAAACCTAGGAAAATTGTGGGTATGTCGCAATAAAGGAAGATCATCATAAATAGAAAGATTCGTAACCCGAAAGACGTACGTTTCTGGTTATTAACTTCGTCAGGCCCAAATGGATGTGAAACATATGCCGATTACATATGAATACAAATAACCACAAGGAAAATAAGAACCATTTGAGAGTGCTGAAGCCAATGAGCGGAAACGAACGTCGCTCGGATTAACAATCCTCCTAGTTTTGCTCATGTTCCCTCATTGTGGACATGTCCGCGGTTGTCATTTGTTTTTTATAAGTATTTCCTACAGGTACATCAACATTTACAAAATAGTCAATAGTGAATTATCGTTGTGTCAATGCATATTATATTAGGCACGATTGAATCACTAGTATATCTGTTTAATTATAAATTCAAAGCACATTTCACTGGATGCATTACAGGGCATAGTTCTTTGGACTTTCTGTACATAAATAATATACTAATCAGCTTTACAGGGTCTTCGCCTGACTTAAAATATGAAAAAGAATGGGATCCAGCCTTGGTTTTTCGAGAAAGCTTTGATATTACGCAATATCTCATTCACAACGATTTGATAGCAATCCAGATTTTGCATTCAAAACGAAGACCTTCCTATTCTAAAATACGGAAGGGTTCCCATCCTGCCTACTAATTCACTTTTTGATATTTTTATGTCGATTCTATTTGACCTATTAGCCCCCGTGCATTATTCATATCTCTTGCACAAAAAACTTAACATACAACAACAACATAAACTTGTCCTAAAACCCCCACTTCTATTGCTTGGTTCCTTATGGGATTTTCATTGTTGCGCTTTTTATTGGCTACTGACTCAGTTTCCCGAAATTTAGCTACAAGTTCTAGAACATATTTTCAATGTACGTTACTGCTCCCATGTCGCTCATTAAATATTTCCGCTGTTCTATTAGCGCACTGATTATTTCCGAAAAATATTTCGATAATTGCAACTCTTTCTGCTATGGAATATACCATGGTTAATTTATGTAATAAAGCGCTACAAGTTATTTTAGCAACAAAGTTTGGACAAATCAATCGCAAACTATGTACTAAATCCCTATTTAAAATAAGTACGAAATATTTCTTTATCTTTCTTCAAGAAAGAACTTTTTTGCCACAAAAAACGCTCCAATAGCTATTGTCAACAACAAAATGATAAATAAGCCATGGGCGTAGTGAAGAAAAGAATTTACTTATTAAGTAAATTCTTTTAGTCAAATTTCTTCTGAAAGTGGTACAAACTAATTCGATGTACCTATTAAAGTCTACTTTAAGCTTTAAATCAATAAATCTTCAAAACTACTGAACTGAAGCTCATGTATTTTACATCATTATAAAGGGAATTGAAAGACCTTTAGAATAAGGTATCTCTCGACCTTCCTTTCCATTTAAGATTTTAGGGTTGGTGTCACCCTTGCCCAGATGGCTGCACGTGTTGACGTGATTTTTTGCCAAACTCGATAACAAAATCGACGGATCTGAGCGTTTTTCCAAAAAAAAAGCTGAGCTGCCAGTGAATGCGTCTGTTTCGTTTTCGATGCGCCACCCTGTATAATGTCTCTACGATTTCATCATATTTGTTCATGATTATGTTATAATAGGGTAGACAAGTGCGTACTTGAATTTTGGGGAAGATGATGAACCTTTAATTTTGTAAAAAACTATTTGGAAGAAAGTGCAGCACCGAAGTGATCGATTCTAAAAATATTCTCATATTGGTTAGTTCCGAAATGATGTTCTGAGGAACATGATAACTGCCTCTTGTATGTCCATGACGGAGACATTAATCGCGATTTGGATATTTTTTTGGTTAGTGACGAGTTTAAAAAATGCCGACCAAGCACGAAGACACGCTACATCCACACCACAATGCAGGAGCTCTTCATCTGCCGGACAACTACAATGTCGTCCGAAGATTGAAGAGGTCCAAGCCGTATGATCTTCTGTAGTGTTTTGTATCTAAAGCAGAGTATACGCGTGAGTTCCTAATGATAGTATTAATTATACGTTAGATTATTTAAAGGACATTAATGGATTTCCTCTGATGAGTATTAGTTGTAAGATGATACAGGAAACTTATTGTCAGACCACAATGATCATCAAAGCCACCTTAAAAACACAACAAGAATTGGTTAGTATATCAGGACAAAATTGGACTTTGTTGCAGACAAGCAACGTCCTCTTCTACGATCCCTTTTAAATTACTGTAGGAAATACGAAACATGATCCACTGTATCTAAAAACATATTTTGTAATAATTTTAGCGTGTTTGAGTACTTACATTCCAAAAGAGATTGTTTGTATCGAAAATCAAGACAAAACTATGCTTAATACGTTTTATGATGTAATATATTTAACAATTGATATTTTTGTTCCTTTGAAGAAGTACTCTGCAAAGAAATTTCGCATTTGGTATTCTCCAGAACTTAAACAAATGATAATCGAAAAAATGAAACTACACAAGAAGTACATCAAATCTCACTCACTAAATGATTATCATGAGTTTTCTATTCTCAGAGCTCAGTGTAAAAATCTAAAAAAACAGTGTTATCTGGAATATGTCAATACAACTGAATCTTCTCTTAAACAAAAAGGTGAACAATTTTTTAAATTTGTTAATAGCCGTAAGGATTATCATTACATACCTTCAGAAGTACATTATAATAATGTCACTAGTCTGGTCTACAAATTACCAATTTGTTTGCAGATTTCTTCTCTAAAACTTGCAGTGCAGAGAATAGTATTGTTCAGAATAGTAATCTTTCTTATGGGGTCATCAATTTGTTTATCTATGAAATTCCAAGCTCAGCCATCTATGAAAAACTGTCCAAACTAGACGTTAATAAAGGACCTGGACCTGATGGTGCACCTCCGTTGTTGATTAAACATTGTAGCTTTCTGATTTCTAGACCTGTATTTTATATTTTTAAACTTTCGTTGAAAAGTGGAACTTTTCCGGAATGCTGGAAAACAAGCTTCATTGCTCCAATACAGAAATCTGGAGATCCTTCACAAGTCAAAAATTATCGACCCATCAGTAAACTGAGTTGCATTGGAATGGTATTTGAGAGCCTAGTGTGTGAATTTTTAACCGCAAATTTGCAAAGTACTTTTATAAGCCAACAGTTTGGATTTCTTTCAAAACGCTCCACAGAGTTAAATCTGTTAACATTAACAAACTATGTTTTGGAATCCTTGGAGGAAGTAGTTTATACAGATTTTTCTAAAGCACTCGAAAGGGTCAACCATGAGGTCTTGATTAACAGGTTACATTGTCTAGGAATTTGCGGGGATCTTTTATCATGGATGAAGTCTTACCTCACTGTCCGAAAACAAATAGTGCGTATACAAGGTTTCAATCAAATGAGATTAATGTGCCATCTGGAGTAGGGTAAAATACCCAAATGTTGTCACCTGTCTAAATGTTGGCACTAGTTCTGAATTACTTCGAATTTTCGAGTTATTGCTGAATATATGGGGATTTCACACCTTTTTTATGGTTTGGCAACAATTTCCACAAATATCGAACGATTTGGCTACATTGTGACGGATCAGTTGTGTGTGATATATGGTTCCGACCAGACGCGCATCATCAGTGTCGCTTGAAAATAGTAAAATTTGTAACAAGGTAGGTATCTCATCCTGCATAATTTTTCACTCTAGGCAAATAAAAGTGAATATTTCATGTTTGTCACATTGTCTTACGCTTACATAACATAAATTTGATATATTTATGGATTTTCTCTTAATAAATACCGAAAAAATCATGTGCCAAGTATTGGTACAAAAATAATGATTTTCCGTAATGTTGACACCGTGTGCTAGACGGCTTGGTTGTTGATGATTATCACATCCTAATAATTGGCACCTTTTTCTTTCAGCTTTATTTTCCAAATGTCGAACGGAAATAGGAGCAATCACACAGATAAATCGATTATGAAAAGAAAAGTAGGGAAATGGTGTACAAAAAAGTAAGTATGAAGTATTTCAGTCTGTATTTAATCATACATATCGCTTACTTTGACTAGAATCTGTAGACTCATGTTTGCTGATGCTTTATTCGTTACTTGGATGATACAAAATTATTTAAATGCTTCTGGTAGGCAATTAATTAGTTCACTAAACTAAAATAATTTTGATTTTGAAAAAAATTGTAAAATTCTCAAAATTTGGGGATGCCAAGATTTGGTTCAGTTATTTCACGATATTCGCTTTATTAGCACGCCTATCCAGGTAGGTGTACAAAACTTTCTATCTCAAGGATTAATAGAAATTTTCAAATTTTCAGGCAAAAATCTGCCACCTACTCAGAGGAGACTCTACAACAGGCACTCAAAGATGTCCGGGCTGGTGAATCAAAAAAATCAGTTGCCCAGAAGTACGGGATACCTAGAGCCACTATCCAGTTTCGACTGAAAAACAAGTTAGCTGGAGCAAAACGAGGTCGCAGAACATACTTGACTGAAGAAGAGGAAGCTAAAATTGTCAATTGGATATTGGAAAATGACAGGAAGGGTTTTCCAAGAAGACAGATTGACCTACAGCTAGCAGTGAAGTCATTCCTGGATAATCATGAAAGGGACAATCCATTTACGAATAACTTTCCCGGTATACACTGGTACAAATTATTCATGAAACGACACCCACAACTGAGTGAGCGCACTGCTGAAGGGATTACATCTGCTTCCTCAGTTGTTTCCGAAAATAATATAAGAGGATGGTTCAGAGATATTGAGAAGTACCTTAAAGAGAAGGATCTGTTTTCAATATTGGCGGACCCAAGTCGCGTATTTAATGGCGATGAAACATGTTTTCAGTATAATCCAAAATTGGGAAAGGTCATTGCACCAAGAGGTAAAAAAAATGTTTACGAGGTTGATCTGGGTAAAGCCAAGGAAAATTTGACGGCAATGTTTACATTTTCTGCCTCAGGTATAACAACGCCGCCAATGATCATCTACCCAAACAAGAGGCTCAAGTCGGCTGTAGCAAATGTCATACCGGATGAATGGGCGATAGGTTTGAGTGAAAATGGCTGGATGAAATCGGAAATATTCATTGATTACATACAAAACCATTTATATCCCCATTTGAAACAAATTAATACTAGATTCCCAATCATTCTTTTCGTTGATGGTCATAAATCACACCTATCTCTGGAGCTGAGTGAGGTTTGTACCAAACTCGAAATTGTTTTGGTTGCACTATACCCAAATTGCACAAGAATTATGCAACCAGCTGATGTAGCCAATTTTAGACCGCTCAAAAGCTTATGGAAGAAATCTGTTCTACAATGGAGACATGAAAATCCTTACTGCCAGTTTGGCAAAGAGCATTCCGCACCAGTTTTAGAAACTGCGATAAATGGACTTAACAAAGAGTCAACCATTAATGGATTCAAAGCATGTGGCCTTTTCCCATGGAATCCAGATGCTCCGGATTATAGTAAATGCCTAGGGAAAAAAACAAATAGGGCTGAGATATCAGAGAGACAAGAGCAGCTACAATCCAATGTTAGTAATTATGAAGATATATGGAATGTGTTCGATGAACTATTAGTAAAAAGACTCAAAAATGGAGCTATTAGTGGTTGCTGCTCCTCAGACTGCGAGAATTTCAACATTTTATTGAAAATATATAATATTCTGGAACGCCAAAAGAAAAATAATACAGCCGGTGCGAAATGTATTTTCTCTCAGGAGGAGATCAATAACATGCCGATTGTATTGCTGGACGAAGAACAACCCACTGAGGTAAATGTTGACGAACTGCTTATGAATTTTACTTATGACGATGGTGATATGTTGAATCAAAATATTCTTACGGAGAGTGAATTAGAAACCATCAACTTATCATTAATGGGAAGTGGTATTCACGCAGAAATTGATAACATTACCACCGAACCTGCGAGGCAACTAAGTGATAATCCACTACAGAAGAGCTCAACTTCAAGTCCAGAGCATAATGGTGAAAATGCCCATATTGAAAGATTTTTAGGTGTGCCAGAAACTCCTGTCAGAAAAGGTACCAGGCAAACTGAACGCGTTAGTTTCGTCATATCGTCTTCTGCGTATAAAAAGAATCTAGAAGGCTGGCAATTGTTCTGTTATGTTACCCAAAATGCGGAATCCACGTATAAAAGTTACAGGTGCTAGCAGTGAATTGTTCGAAACTGATAACAATGTCCTAAAAGGTAAAATTATCAATCAGAATAGTGGTTTGTTAAGCCATCAAGAACATACCTTCAATATTGTTTTTAAGTATCCTATAAAAAATGGAAAGTTTGATTTTATTGCAGATGTAGATCCGTTGTCTTATCATTCGATTATTAAAGAGGGTAAATTAAATATTGGGTGGAACAGGTGTCATGCGTATGAGCATATATCAGTAGTTCGTTGCTATAAGTGCTGTGAATATGGGCATATTCAAACAAGTTGTAGAAATCAAACAGTCTGTCCTCTTTGCTCTGGTAGCCATGATATGAAGCATTGCAAAAACAATTCACGACGTTGCATTAATTGTGCAAATGCCAGTAATAAACAGAATAAAAGCCTTGATATGTATCATGCTGTGTGGGATAGCAAATGTATATGCCTACAAAAAACTCAGGACTTTATTCGAAGTAAAACCAACTACTCCATATAGTTTTTTGCTCTTGTGTCTTGGTTATCCGGTTTTATTTTTTATTATTTTTTTTTTTTTTACATCTTTTAATCCACACAACAAATACATTTTTTTTATCCTCTTTTGTTATTTTCTTCTGTGTCTGATTTTATTACTTTTTTCTATTTGGAAATTAGGTATTATACTGTGATTTACTTTACATGTCTGTTTTATCTGATTTCGACATTATCGAGAACGAGGAGCATAATTTAATGATAGCATGCCTAAATGTGAGATCATTAACTAGTTCACTTTGTGATCTCAAAGAATATATACTATCACAAAATTTTGATGTCATCGGCTTAACTGAAACGTGGCTGAAGCCAAGTATTATTGATTCAAGTGTTCATATTCCAGGTTATCAGCTATTCAGATCTGATAGGCAAGACAGGCGAGGTGGGGGAGTTGCTTTGTACGTTAGGTTAGGACTTAGGTGCTCTTTTCTACAAGTGTCTCAGAATGATGGTTTTGAACAACTCTGGATCAAGATCAAGGTTAATAAAAAAACAATCAATGTTGGAGTTATATATAAGCCTCCTGATGTTCACTACAACTCGCTGACATCGCTAGAAGAGATGCTAGCATCTCTTCTTCCTAAATCCGAGGATATTATTGGCATGGGTGATTTGAATATCAATTTCCATAATACTAATAGCCCAGATTTTAAATTCGTATCAACATTTATCCAGGATCTTAATTTCAAACAAATTGTGAACGAAAAGACAAGAGTAACTAACAATAGTGGCAGCCTTATAGATGTTGTTTTTGTGAACAGAGAACTAAGCATTACTAAAACAGGTCTCGTCTGTCTCCCCACCATTTCTGACCACAGTTTGGTATATTTCTGCATTGAATGTAAAAAAAATGTTAGGTGTCCGAAATATGTACTTACTAGAGACATAAGAAACATCGATCACTCCTTATTAAAAGAAGTTGCATCGTCTCTCTATTGGTTAGATGTAGTCCATTTAGAAAGCATTGAAGACAAGTTGCGATATTTTTATGAATTGGTTGAAAAGGTACTCAACGTTTGTGCTCCTTTCAAAACCAAAAAGATTACCAAAGCACGGTATCCTTGGATTACTACTAATATCAAATTTATGATGCGACTGCGAAATAAGGCTTATTCTCAATATATTAAAGCAGTAAAGAACAAGTATCCCAGTGAAATAATAGCTTCAAAATGGATATATTATAAACAGCTTAGAAATCTTGTCACAGCCTCTTTCAGGAGGGAAAAGAAAGCTTACATTGAATATAAACTGAGACAAAGCAACAATAGTCGAGAATGGTGGAATGCTATCAAAAACATTGGCGTTCATGGTTCTAAAAATGATAACCGGTGTTCAATACAGCCTGACATGCTTAATGATTATTTCATAGACTCTATTCCCGTCAATAAGGTTAATAACTACTTACGGACATTCTATAACACAAATCATCTTTCCCCTGCAGTTCAACCGTTTAGCTTTAAACTTGTTACTAAAGAAAGGGTTTTGGATATTTTTTCTAAAATTAAGTCACGTGCAAAGGGTCTGGATGGCCTAAACTTAGATCTTTTGATTCCCCTAATTCCATACTGTATCGATGCATTAACACACATTATAAATTTTTCACTAGAAAAAGGTGTCGTGCCGAGCCTATGGAAAGCCGCTATGGTTAGACCTCTTGCAAAAATTGATGATCCGATAGCACCTGGTGATTTCAGGCCTATTAGTATACTGCCATTGCTATCTAAAATTCTGGAAAGAATTGTCTATGAGCAAATACTAGGACACATAAATAAAAACAGTTTGATTCCAAATGTTCAGTCGGGGTTTCGGAAAGGTCACAGTACGGTTACCACTTTGATAAACATATGTGATGACTATATCAGAGCTATGGATAAATCTTGTGTCACAACGTCAATTCTAGTTGATCTCAGCAAAGCTTTCGATTCTATCAATCATGAATTGCTTCTTGGTAAGCTGCATTATCTTGGATTTTCTGATAGTACTGTTACGTGGTTTAGGAGTTACTTGCATGAGCGGTCACAGCTAGTCAATGTAGGCGGCTGTATGTCCGATAAGCGTGCGATTTTGAAGGGGGTACCGCAGGGCTCCATACTTGGCCCAATTTTGTTTACTTTGTATACGTTCGATCTAAGTCGTGACATTAAATATTGTTCTATTCAGTCTTACGCTGACGATACCCAACTGTATTTGTCTTACCGTCCTTTCGATTTCCTGGAGGCAAACAGGAGAATGTCTTGTGATCTAGATCGTGTTGCAAAGTGGTATAACGATCACGGGTTACTTATCAATTCAAACAAATCTGCTGTCATAACTATTAAGTCCATACAAAGTAATTTCGATAGTAACTTGATAAAATTACACCTGGAAGGTGGAGACTTGCCTCATATAAAATCCGTGAAAAATTTAGGAGTAATAGTGGATGAACATCTCACGTTTCACGATCACGTTTCCAGGGTTGTGCAAAATTCATATGCTAAGCTCAAGACAATTTACAGTTATAAACATGTATTATCTAGTCAAACCAAGATCAAGCTTTGTAACTCTTTGATTCTCAGCAAAGTCGAATACGCTGATGCGGTGTATGGTCCATGCCTGACACAGTCGGAAGCTTATAGGATACAAAAAGTGCAAAATAGTTGTATCAGGTATTCATTAGGTGTTCCGAGAAGGGAACACATTACTAGATACATTAAGGATGTCAAGTGGCTCACGATGCGTCAGAGATGGATTGTACACTTGTTGGTCATAGTACAGACAGTCCTATTAACCAAATATCCAGCATATCTGAGCAGCAAACTCTCATTTAGAAGTCAGCATCACTCGGCGAACTTACGCTTTGTAGGTTATACCCTCGATATGCCCCCCCATAAATCAACACAATTCACAAAGTGCTTCTCATACATGGCGCCTTCCCTTTATAACTGTCTATCATCAGATCTGAAAAGTTTGAGTAACAATAATTTTAAAGTTAAAATAAAGCAATTTGTTCTCGATAATACCTAATTCTATACTAAGCTTTCATCTTGTAACTGCTGTGATTCTACATTAAGTGTCTGGTTGTCTTCACATTTTACACACTATTATGTTGTATTTGTCACTTTTCAGTACTATATGTCTTGATCATTATTTTTTTGTATCTGTGATTTTTTTTTTTATGTTTGTTAAACTTATGTAGCCCTGGTTGGTACCAAAAGCAGCTATTAGCTGATACACCCGCCAGGTAAAATAAGGGCATATTATTATTATTATTATTATTATTATTATTATTATTATTATTATTAAAAACACAAGATTAAAGAAGACAAAGAAAAAACAAAATGTGAAAACAAAAGAAAACGCACGGAGAGAGCGGAAGAACTAGCAAAAAAGAAAAAGTCAAAAAATACTGTAAAAAAGAAGAAAACTGCTCCTGGAGGCAATGAAAATGGTCGCAATCTATCCAAAGCTCCCGTTCTAGGAGTGGAGCAAAATCACCAAATATGTTCTTCAGAAAAACGTTCACCAATGGGAGTTCATACAACAAATAATATAACGATAAAGAAAGCAACACATATTAGAAATTTGACAGATCTGATGAACGAAAGTGAATCTGAGTCTCACCTTGAAAGTAATATAACAGTATCTGCAGGACTGTGCTTTTTAAGCACAAATAATATATGCAAAATCAATATAGGCATTAAGTGTCAAACATGCATGCGAATGTATCATTTGCAATGTTTAAAAAAAAGAAAATTGTATACAGAAAGCTTCCAATGCCACCCTTGTACTGTCAAATGTAATATAAACAAGCAATAGTATTTTTGTATTTTATGTCATCCCTCTAGAAAATCTAGCTTGAGACTGTGCTAACATTGTGGCTCAAGATATGCCAACTATTGGATTCCAAGTGCCAACATTTGGAAAGTGGTAGTCCTCAGCTTTTTTCATATTTAATCAATTTTGAATATTCTAATAGCAATTTTTTTGATTTTTCCGAAAACTGCCATGATTGAGCAATGTATAGATGTACTTATGGAGGAATAATTTGACTTTTGAACATTGTAGCCTTTAATTCAATGTTAAAGATCCCTTAAAGTGCCAACAATTGGGTATTTTACCCTACCTCAAGGTTCCCATGTGGGTCCTCTTCTTTTCAATATATACGTGAATGATATTATATACTGTTCTAGTCTGTTAGTTTTCTAATGTTTGCTGACGATTTGAAATTATTCTTAAAGATCAAACATAATAATGGTTGTTTAAATATCCAAAATGATTTTAATTCATTGAGTATCTGGTGTCAAATGAATAGAATGGAACTTAATGTGGATAAATGTCACTTAATGGTCTTCAGTCGTAACAGAGACTCCATTGATCTTACTTATACCATGAAAGGTTGTCCTCTAAGGAGTGTATACCAATTTAGGGATTTAGGGTAATTCTGGACCCAAAATTATGCTTTATTACCCAATATTGAAAGCTCTCTCGATGTCTCAACCCTTCAGGTAAGACGGAATCAGAGGGACCTGTCACTATTTTATAATATTTTGCACTCTATTAGTTTTGCTCCAGAACTTTTGAAAAATATTAATCTCCATGTGCCTTCTCGTCAAACAAGACTGAATCAACCATTCCATGTGATATCATTTCATACTAGTTATGCTAGTATTTTCTTCCTGTCTAGATCTTCAAGGTTAGCAAATCAGTATTCAAATCAGTTGGATTTCTTCAGAAGTCAGAAAACATTCAAAATTCAATTAGATTCCTGGCTATAATATTTAATATTTGATTTACCCATATATTTAAATTTCAATTAAATTTGTTTCAAATTAGAAATTATCTGGATTGTAAAGTGTTTGTGATTGTTCTAAGTGTTAGATATCTAAGTCAAAGTAGGGTTAGGTTTACATTAGATTTTCTATGCTGTACTTTAATTGAGCAGCCGCTAGTTGAAAAATAAATAAATAAATAAATAAATAAAACTGGAATTAGATTTAGTAACAATTTGATCGAAGGAGACTAGGCTATCTCTCACCTCTAGGGCAGATAACAGACATGGCTGCATCTCCCAGTAATGTGCACCCATTTGCATCGAAACGTGTTACAGGCATGATACGCCAAGTAACAAGACATCTATTAATTTACAAATTAGCCTTATTCCCCATGTGTCCGATGGCATGTTACCAAACTGGTCTTCAAGGTATGCAAATCAAATGCTCCAATCAAGCGCTATCAAATCAATTGTTAGTTAATGATTGTTAGATACAAGGTTCTCAGACTGACGTATGTAATGAACAAGATGGTTATTTCAGCCGCCTCATTTGAATGTGTAATTTGGACGCAACAGTGATACTACATATAAACTCTGGGCGCTGAAGAAAGACATTAAACGTAAACAGTGATCAGCACGTGAACAGATCCCTCGAAAGCATCCACGGATATACTCCAGTCACTTTAGGTCTAAACATCATCGGCAGTGTATTTCTAGTGAATCCACAGACCCTTTTTCGTGTCATCTTGAGACTAGAAAAAGGATAACTGTTAAAATAAGTTACCTTGATCTTTCATGAGCTCCCAGTACAAAACATCATCGATATATTTTTGATGTAGGAACAACAAATTGGTTTAGAAAACATCCACTTTGAACCTAAATTGACTGGAGTAACATCGATCTACAGACAAATTCAAGGTCACTAGCAGTCGTCGGCGCTCTACGAATCTGCACAGGTTTGGACTTGTAAACGTGATTGTAGATGACACGACAGGCATCTAACAGTTAATTCTCGCACAGGATTGCATTGCATACGCATTACGCATTCAGTAGCGTATACTCGTTTTTCGCGAGTGGAAAGTTTTGTTTATACGAGTATATTGCCTAAGATACGATGTCTGACACAGATACAGCCGACGAAGTGGTTGACATCAGCGCAACCCCACCCAAAAAAAGGGCTAAGAAGCTACATTTAAGTGCAAATGAAAAACAAATAATATTAAATATATACAAAAACCAAATTCAAGAAAAACCCGATTTGGTCGTGGACGAAGTTATATGTAAGGTAGCACATATTTCTGGAGTATGTCGGTCCAGTGTTTATAGGATCATTAAGGAATATAGGAGCACTCACTCACTTTCTGAGCCAAAACCGTATCCTGCAAGAAAAAGGATAACGGACGGAGTAGATGACTTTGACAGAACTGCCATCAGGAGGAAAGTGCATAATTTTTTCTTCCGGAATGAGATACCTACTGTAGATAAGATATTAAGATTAGTTAATACTGATGAGGATCTTCCATCATTTAAAAGAACCACATTCCGAAAACTTTTGAAGGAACTTAATTTTCGATTCTTGAAACGGGGAAGAAACAGTATGTTAATAGAGAAAGAAGAAATTGTTGTGTGGAGAATGGAATACCTTAGGAAGATTCGGAAGTTTCGCGATGAAAAAAGAAAAATTTACTATTTGGACGAAACGTGGGTGAATGCTGGACATACTCAAGCGAAAGTTTGGGTCGACAAATCAGTAACATCATCAAGGCAGGCTTTTCTAGACGGTCTTTCGGCTGGACTGAAAAATCCTGCAGGTAAGCTCCTTCATCTATCCGGCAATTTAATTTTGATAAATTCGGGCAAATAATATGCTGTGATAGCAGATAATGTGTGATATTCTCCAAAAATGGTGCATTCGCAGTGTAGTCATTAGGAAAAAAACTTCGACCCTCTTTTAAGCGTTATTTTGAAATTTATTATCATTTTTGGGTGCAGTCAATTTGCTTTGAATGGGTTTTGAGAAGTTGCAAACTTCAATTTTCTACGTTTTTCAGTTTTTGATCAGCATTCCGTGACTCTTAAATTCAGCTAAATGAACTCAATTGCCTCATTCCTTCAAATTTAATCAATCCATAGTGTAAGGAATAATTTATTTCCAGGAAAAGGCAAACGGCTGATCATTTGTCACGTAGGTAGTGAAGACGGCTTTGTTCCCGAAGCACTGTGGGCCTTTGAATCAAAAAAGTCAGGGGACTATCATGAGGAGATGGACGGCAATTCCTTTGATAATTGGTTCTCCAAAATGTTACTAAAGCTGGAGAATAACGCTGTTATTGTACTGGATAATGCCCCGTACCATTCTAGAAAAATAGAAAAAATTCCCACAATGGCAACTAAAAAAGCAAACATACAACAATGGCTGGCCTCAAAACAGATCGATTTTGATGAAACAATGGTCAAGGGTGAACTGATAAGTATAGTCAATAGACATAAATACAAATACGATTTTAAAATGATCGACGAAATGGCCAAAAAACAAAATAAAACTGTCTTGAGACTGCCACCCTACCATTGTGAGCTGAACCCTATTGAGCTGATTTGGGCCAACATAAAGCAATACGTGGCGTCGAATAATAATACTTATAAATTTTCTGATGTTAAAAATCTCTTTCACATCGCAGTCAATAGAGTTACGGCAGAGGAATGGAAAAACTGTATCCGCCACGTTCGGGAGAAGGTTGAGGTCAAAATGTGGGATTTGGACAATGTCATCGATACCCAAATTGAACCTCTAATAATTCATTTAAACGATTCAGAAGATTCAAGTTCCTCTTCTGAATGAGTGCGCGCAGCTTACTTACTAATAACTAAAAAGTGTAGTTAACTCATTTGTGAATCTCTAACTGAAATTTACTGTAAAAGATAATAATTATCTTGTATGAAATTTTTGATGACTACCCATAATATCTTGATGCGGTCCTGTAATGTCTCCTGCGCCTAAACACTCACTCACGAGCAATATGCGTGTATTTGTTTGGGTTTAGTTTCTTTCTTCAGCGCCTAGAGTATAGTTTGTTTGTGCATGCATTAAGTGCAAACCATCGAATTAGACGTAAGTTGTCACTTCTGTCACCAGCACATTACATGGAAAGCTTGAGCTACGCACGCCTACTTAGTCGCTGAAGTGTGATGTGTTTAAATTCTGAATGTTTCTTACACTAAAGTTATGTGTGGCTTTGACAGATTTTCGGAAACATTGGCTGAATATCAAGTTTCATTTATTGGGCTTAAATATAGAAATCTCCAATTTTGAAAACATTGATCAAACAGAAAATTATCCTTAGCATATTTATTTAGGCGTTGCGTCCAAATGTTTCCGTTTTGTATAGTTTTATTTACGACTTCATGTTTTCTTCGCTCTATTTTGTATATTTTGAACCCTTGAGAGGCATAACTGAAAAATAATACAGGAGCTTGTTAAACTGTACCCATATACGGTTGAGTAAACCAGCTGGTGGTACAAATTACCGTACTGATTGATATGAATGACACAAACTGTTTTATCTATTTTTCAAAAGTGTGGTTTGGTTGAATTTTACCCACTAGAGATCTCATAAAATGAAATCAATAATTAAATTAATTAATTAAAAAGGATTTTTTTGCAAGTCCATGGTGTAGCACAGTGTACTACCGGGAACTGAGACGGATGTGACGTCATCCAAATGTCAAAGAATTACGTGGTACCGCACGGGTATCTCGTATCTTGAAAAGTGACACTAGTCCGAGTTTTTTTGACATTATGCTGTTTTTTTTTGACATTATGTAGGTTTTTCTACAAGATGTTGACTTAGCACTTAGTTGTACGTGTTGCCTAAACGTCATGAGGCTTCAGTTATCAATCTTTGGTTCTGATGTGATGTAAAATCTGCTTCTGAGATGGCATTACTGGAGGTCTAAGCTGTAAGTAGTATGTGTTGAAGATAATTACATTGGGTTCTTGTCTCAAATACACTTAATTGAGATTCAAAACTAGAAATTAGTTGCGCATCCACTTTTTCTTATCCATTCTGGAAATTACATATACAAATTTGCTGAATTTAAAAAATGAGTGAGATAAGAAATAATTATATTCACTGTACACTGTCGAATTACAAGCCATATACATGCTAACAGTAATTACACACGACGCGGGCGCGGTGATGATTTCCCGTATTTTTCCTCAGTTTTTCGTAATTTATAACTTTGCACATAACCTCTCTTCAGGAAGCACAACATAAGAATAACCCGTCAGGCATAGCCAATAGATATACTTCATTGACAGCATATTCAGTAATGATTTTCTCACACAGCAGATATCACTGATTTTATACACATGCAGACCAATACACATATCATCCTGATGCGATCTTGGTATTCAACCAACTTTATTCTCAGAGATAAAAACTACAGACAAAGACCATTTGACCTCACAAAACTTATGCAACCAATAATGCGTGTCGTCTAGTTGAGTGACTCCTCCCTAGATGGACGTTCACAACGATCCTAGTAGAAACGTGGAATGACTGTTTGCGTCCTAAAAGCTACCTAGTTTGCAAGATGACATGTTATAGGTTTTCTTCGACGTTTTATAGGTTTTTTACATGACACCTGAGCCGATAACCGCCTAATATCGGTCGGTGAGGTACTAGCGGGTGACAGGCCTTATGTCAATGTCATTTAAAAATCATACATCTGAATTGAAAATTTGTCTTCGCAGAGCCGAAGATTGAGTTAAGTTATTAAACCATAAATGGAGAGACACGTCCGCCTGAGTTCAATTGACCTGGGAGAAGGTCATCGAAGATATAGGAGCCGCTCTTGTCATATCAAATGGTTGATTTCATTCATATATATTTTGTTCATTGCACAAAAAACGATCAGTTTGTTTAATTCTGATTCAAAGAAAGTTTACCAAGAAGCTTAAGGCAAGCATTTTGCGGAACATGCGCCATCTAACCGGTGTAACTTGAAACTGTCAAAACTTCGAGGGCAGGGGGAATGCAATCTGTTCCCGCTCCGTTCACTACGGGATCTCTCGAAAAAACTTCTTAAGATTGTATAATACTTACTGCGTAACAGTTTTTCACAAATCACCAATTATGAAGCTCCAGGACCAACTTTCAGTTGCAAGTGTTTGTTAGACACGTTTTGTCGCCATGGGGCTTTAAACAGGCGGCGTGATAAATCTATAGTTCAGGAAATATTGAGGTGGTACAAATTAAAGACCGGTACAACGTACCCGACTTTTCCCTAATGTATGAGGATAACGTGGATACCGTAAGTAGCGTGCGGCGTATGTCTCGCGACTGTTTTGTTACTAGTTTTTACCTCTCCTTGTACTTCAAGAACCATCTAGGTGTCGAGGAAACGTAACAAACCTTTCTTGTAGCAAATTCAGTTCTCTCCAAAAAATAGTAGTGTTTTATACTCTTTGATTTTTATAGCTGAATTTCCAAATTGGAATGCAGTAAAGAACTGTAAGCGATGTTGTCACGCGCTTATAGAAGAAATCCACTGAAAGTCTACATATTGAATTTTTGCATAAACATTCAAATGTTGAACAATTTTCTTCTGATCTCCAATTTAATTAAGATATATAAGCAAAATCTTCAATTTCAAGTAGTCAAAGTCAAATCCTACAGTAAGAAGATCAGTAGCCAGAAATCAGGCTTTGCGACCTACGTATCATTAGATAATGATACCCAGTCGATGCGAATATTTCCATCCCCTGGAAAAAACTCAATTTTCAACAGGTCTGTCTTCTGGCTTATACCATGCCTATCCACGCTACGAGGGATTTCTCTTAAGCTTGATTGAAAAACATTGGATTTGACAACATGGAGCAGTCCAAGCAAATTAAGGATACGATGTTGCCAAATCGAATTATATTCAGATATTCCCTTGATAACAGTTTATTATGCTTCGTGATCGAAAATATATTAGCTGCGGCAACTGTTTCTATCAGGTCTGAAGCTCCACCGCTAATCGTAAGTTGTGAATCCGGAAATCAAATCCATAGATTCCCAGAACTGAATTTTTGCAAAGCAACTTGCTGGAAATACGTATTTTAAACATGAATGCTTCAACTCAACCGACAATAATTGAATATATATATATATATACACCAAGTAGGTCCAGTAGCAAAAAAGTTAGAATATGGATGTCATATGTGAAAATCTGATTCACGTGTTAGATCTTCTCTCCAAATTCTGAATTTTCAAATACTCATACAAAACGGGTAACTACGATGGCAATGACCTATTTAGATTATCGGGAAGGTGAGCTTGACTTTTCAGTATATTATTTACGCCTATCAAAAATTTTGGGGCGGATTCCGCCTCGGTCTGAAAAAGTTAACAATCCGATAAAGCAGAATGTGAGCATAGGCTTCACAACGTCGTAGTCGGCGTCGCGCTATACTCAAAGGATATGCGGCAATTTTATTGCATTCAGGTTCCAGCTAGTGTAGTCAGGTGCGGAGCACATACTGTTAAGGTGTTAACCCTTAACCGACGTCGTGACTATTTTGTGCATAACCGCCGTCGAGTGGTCCGTGGGACCGCAAAATAAAAAAATATATTTTCGATGACTGTTTTAAGAAACACTACTTTCTTGGAATATACTATAGGTTGAGTCCTTATTTATGTATTATATTTAAAAAAACATGTAAAGTCCGACTAAAACATTTATTTTTAACTTTTATAGCATACAGTTTTGTGTATATTAATTTACCAACCTTATTTATTGTAGTTATAAATGACTAAAAAAACATTAAACCTGAAAATTATTTATCATATTAAGAAATACACCCTAAAGAACTATTTTGCACAAATATAAGCTCTATAACATCCAAAAGAAAAAAACGTGCAGAGTAAAAGATAATAGAATTTATTGTAATCTACAAATTTCTTTATAAGAACACCTAGACTTTACTAACACAGCTACGGCATATTTTTTTGGAACATTCCAGGCAAATTGGTTTCTTGCAATGACAACATAATTATACGGTTTTTCTTTTCCTCTTTGGGGGACAGATGTGGTACGTTTTTATTTCGTTCCTGGCCAACCTGTCGACACCATGGTCCTCTTGTAGCGGAACATCTTGATTTCCCAAAGCTCGTGCAATTGAAGATCTCAGTTTCATATGGTAGTCGCACTGCAACGTGTTTTCGTTGAAAATATAGTTCCAAGCACAAACTGGATCAAACACTTCATTTTCATTTTGCGGAACACGAATTCCAGGTAATTTTAAAATATTATGTGCTGGATTTCGGATATTTCATTTTGGTTCGGTATAAGACCATTTAAAACGGTTTTTACCATAATAATAATTCGGGTTTTCGTTATCCGATGAGTAGTTGTCACTCACTTGTACTGATTGATTATTGGATTGATCAAACTCTTCATTCGGTTCTAGATCTAATTCGGAATCGGTATCATGTTCACTTTCTTCAACGTAATCTTCATGTTGGTCGGACATATCCACATCTGAGTCTAGTGATTCCAGCATGCGCATGACCTTGGCTTCGAAATCGGGGTCAGCAAAGTTTACACTGTCGGAAACGCGTCCAGAAGCCATTAACAATACAATAATGTTGTACACACCCAGACACTTTACACTTAAGCCGCTGTGAGGTACCACGGACCGCTTTATTTTATTACGAAAAAACTAACGCTCAAATAAACACGACTACACTACTTTAGCACAGCTGTTGTACTAATAAGAAGGTATTAAGACGGATACGCGTGAACGACAGATAGTAGTGGGGAAAAATTAGGAACGAATATCGCCAGCGGTCCCAGGTACCTACGACGTCGGTTAAAGGTTAAGTAGGGTACGCGGATGCGAAAGCTTGGTTAGTGCAGGCACTGCACATATCTACTATTTCAAAAATGAAACGAAATGCAACGTGTAGTACGAACCAGCGGCATGCTTTATGTCCTGGTGAAAGGAACATCGTGAAAAATGTGTACAATGCACTTCGTTCGCAATTTTCTGATAAAATAATGGACGAAACAGTGAGAGATTATAGCGATATGACCAAGGTATCAGTCAGGACCATTTATATAATCCTGAAAGCAAAAGAACAGGAGGTAAATCCGATAAAAGAACGAGGACGTAAGAAAGATGTCCTAGATGATGATGTGAAAAATGTAATTCATCGAAAAGTGCACTCTTTTTATTTGAAAAATGAAATTCCCACATTAAAAAAGTTCCAACGTGACTTGGATGGTGACGAAAGCCTTCCCAATATATCTCGGCGCATTCTGCTGAGAACCTTGCGCGAAATTAACATTAGGTATTCGAAACGGAAAAGGAACAGTGCATTAATAGAGAAAGATGACATCGTTATGTGGCGTAGGGAATACTTTAAAACCACACGTAGTGTTCGCGTAATCGGCAGACAACAAATTTACTACTTGGATGAAACGTGGCTGAATACTGTTTCCAAGTCTTGGCAAGATTTAAATATGACAAGCCCATCGTGATGGATTGAGTACAGCTATGAAATGTCCCTCAGGCAAAGGTCGCATGCATATACGAGCCCCTTCCCACTTTAGTTGGCCCACTTCAAGATTTGTACCAAAATATGCCTTTATAAGCTAAACAAGATGAAACTATTTACTTCTAAAACAATTTATTTTCTCAAAACGTTTTAGATACACTCTAGTCGTAAAAAATGCATATTTGAAATCACTTAGATCTATAACTAGTAGAACATCTGAATAAATAAACAATGTGCGAATAAATGCGCGAAGTTAACAAAGCAACAATTGAAAGATTACCATTGAAATTCTTTGGGGCATAGTGTTAACCAAGTTTTGGCAAAAATTTAGTGTAAAACAATCCCATATTTCTTGAAGCTTTTGTCTCAGTTCGGTGATTGTACGAGCAGGATGTTGTCGTAGAACCTGTTTCATCTCGTGCCACAAAGTTTCAATAGGTGACAGATCTGGACTTCTAGAAACCCATTTCAAAAGTGGTGCATTATTTTCTTCCATCCATTTTATAGCCCTTTTTGAGGTATGGCTCGCTGCACCATCTTGCTGAAACACAACATCTTGGCCGGATGTCAAACATTCTTCCATCACTGGTAAAAGCGATTCTTCTAAAATTGCCAAATATTTGTTTGTATCCACATTTCCATCAATAAAATGAAGTTTTACTACTCCTCTTGACGACATACTGCCCCAGACGATAATGGATTATGGAAATTTCACATTTCTCTTCAGACAGTCAACATGGAATGCTTCATTTTTTGCGAATAACTCTACTGCAACTGTCACCATCACAAACTTAGAATCGGGCCTCATCACTCCATTGTATTGCACACCATTGCTGAGGTGTCCATTGTCTATGTTCTTTAGCCCATCTAAGCCGATTTGGAGTGGAGTTTATAGTGGCTTTTCCTTGGCCTATAAATAAGTTGTGCAACTTTAGGGTTTTTACTTCACTTTTTTTTATAAGAAATTCTCCTTCCAACAGCGTCACTCCACAGAGCACTTAATTGTAAATAATTGGCATGCCTGTTTTCCACGATTATTCTTCTTAATGCTCTTCGGTCGGCATTTGTGATATTACTTTTTTTCACATATCGTGGCCTAATATTAACTGAACCAGTTACGTTATATCTTCTAACAATATTTCTCACACTGTACCGCGATAAGTCTAACAAAGTTGCAATTTTTGAGTTTGGCTTCCCAGAATTAAAAAATTTAATTATCAGTAACCGAATTTTCTCACTAATAACCTTTCCTCTACACATTATGAAAACCTTAACTACCCAAAACTATTTTAAACGTATTCTGATAGCTGTGATTAATAAAAACAGTTGTCATGGCTTTTATTTTTCACAGCCACCTATGCGTTATAGACTTATTTTGCATTGAAATGAAAATAGGTTGATATGCTGTAATTGCAACATGTGTTATTTTTATGCTGCATACTTGATTAGGTAGTGATGAAGTTGGTGTTTTCTACTATGTATTATCAAAATATTCATTGTTAATGTTTTAAACCTATAACACCCTGCTACAGTTTTATTATTTGTGTTTGATAAGAAAAAAACTAAGATTTTAATAGTTGGGCCAACTGAAGAGGGAAAGGTCTCGTAGGTTGTGCATCTGGCTTTGTGAATGGAGGGTTGAATATATTTGAATCCAGAAAAACTGGTGACTAACACGAGGACATGAATGCCGAAGTTTTTGAATCTTGGTTCAAATCCATATTATCCAAGCTCGAACCAGATTCGGTTATCATCATGGACAATGCTTCGTACCACAGTAGACGTAAAAAAATCTCTCCTACTTCAAATTGGTGGAAAGCTGATATTTATAATTGGCTGGTATCTAAAAACATAACGTGCTGAAGGCACCACTGCTGCAAATCGCGCGTGAACACAAACCCCGATTCGTCAAACAAGCTGTTGATGAAATCGCTAGGAGATGGGATTCATGGTATTGAGACTTCCACCGTATCATTGCGAGTTGAATCCAACAGAACTAATATGGGCTCAGATCAAAAATGAGGAAGCTGGTAAAAATACGACATTCAAAATGTCTGACGTTCGTATTCTGTTGGAAGATGCAATTGGTGCTGTGACAGCTGATGCTTGGCAGAAATGTATCTCTTATGTGATTAGAGAAGAAGAGAAGTTTTGGGAACTAGATCACAATATAGAGAAAGCAATAGAGCCAGTAATCATCAACCTCGGTAGCAACGACGACTGGGACAGTGATGATTCCTACAATTCAAGCTCAAGTAGTGACGATACTTCAACATCTCCTGACTGACCAGGCTATTAACTTTTTGTATTTCAAATATATTTATTATCACAACTATAACACAGGTATAGCAAATCTTTGTTGATAACCGATACATTCCAACATAAATAGCTCATCATCATCATCGTTTTATGTTTAAACTTTTTCCGTACTATTTGCTGAATTTCGCTCTATCCGAATCTATATTTCTAAATGTATTGTTTAAGATTCATATGTTTGACAATTATATGATATCAAACATAAAGAAATTTCTCTGACCTCATTAGGCATACCTTCAATAACGCAAAAATTGTTTGATTATAACATAGATGTTACTCGAAAATGTCCAAAAAGCATGGCAAATCAACGACCATCTGGGAAAACCACTAATCGTTTGACAATCGCATCTCGTCGATGCGAATTCAGGCACGAACGGTTACATCAGAACAGGTGAGAAATGTCTTTACTGTAAATCTTTAAACATGAAAATTCTACTACATATCTACTTTCAGTAGGATGTCAAACCCGTTATGATGCTCCGTTCTCACGATGCATGGCGCGCTAGCGATTGCCCACGTTTGACTTTCGGGCGTTGACACGAGTTATAAGATCGATGCTTCGAGATCGCTTTTTAAAAAGTTTATTTTTCGAAAATACAAAACTCAAAACTGTACTTTTACAAAATTATTACAATGTTATTATGATGTAAACAGTACAAAGGCTTAAATCTGACTGACTGTAAAATGTGTTGAGAACAATAAAGTAAACTCTAGGTCTTCTAGGAAATTAGTAGCATCGTCGGCAGTATTCCTATCATATCAGCAGGAACGGCTGATATAACTCACGACAATCGGTATCCAGGCATAACCACGTAATGTGAGGAGAAACACGTTCTAAGAGAAAATCAAACTCATCTTTAGACATGCGTACGCAAATTTTTAAGATCCTTAGGGAATTTTTGTGAACCCTCGAGTTTCTCCTTGAACCCATCTACTTTCTGATAGAATAACGCTTATTCTTCCAATTTTTCATCTAACCACGTAACTTTCTTAGCCTTTTTGCTACAATCGTATTTAAAACCGAACTCAAAACCTCACAACTTTCAACCACATGTTCCGCCATAGTCAGCTCCAAGGAATTAACTGAAATTGAATTGTGATCCATGTCCACGACTGCTGCTGGTTCACGTTTCATCCCCCACTCCAGCCAAGATTCACGACGGCAAAATCGCAAGCATGCCACGCTGCCTTCTTGCCCCGTGAGAACCTACAGTATATTCAGATAAGAGATAGACCGGACATAAACAAGATCACGTGATCATCGAACGCTGTAACATTCGGCAGGGACGTATTAAGAGTCACGCAGTACATATTTTAGATAGTAGATGCTGCTTTGCGTAACTTTGTAGTAAATTAGCACAATTCGATGTGTATACGATTGGTGATGGATATAGGATCATTTGGGGGTGGGGTAAGAAATATATAATGATGTAAATATACATAAGGGTTTCAAAATTTTCGCTTCGATTTCCAGCTTCGGATGCCGCCTGATGTTTGGTGAAATACAGTCGAATATAATCTCAAAATGGCGTTTAAATTAGCCTAAATTAAAAATAATCGTATATCTCTTAAAATTCCTTTTAGAATATTGATTAGTATATTTTTTGATTTCTAGGTAAATACGTAACCAAATTAAAACGTTCAAAACGTAAAAAATGTGCATGGTTGAACATTGACAGAAAGTAGATTCTTGAATAGGTTTTGCCAGAATGGGTTCAAAAATGTCAATAATTAATTAAAAAATACAGTAGCTTTATAATTACTTATAACTTACCGAATTTGATGAACGACATCTTTTATTGGAAAGATGAGCTTGATGAGCTTTCATCATCGCTACTGCCTGAAGCACCAACGTCAATAATGAATGGCTCGACTTGTTCCTCTAAAATATTGTCCAGTTCCCACATTCTCTTTACAACTTTGTCTTTCACGTGCTTAATACAGTTTTCCCATTTTTGCGCTGTTATTAATTCTAGTGCTTCTTTGAAAAGTTTTTTGAGGTCACAAAATTTAAAAGTTGTATTGTGCTTAGCTATATAATTTTTAACCTCTGCCCATATGAGCTCAATGGGATTGAGCTCACAATGGTATGGAGGTAAACAGAGCACAGTTTTATTTTGACTTGCTGCCATTTCGTCAATGGCGTATTTTTGATATTCCGCCTCGTGATCCTTGACAATTCTTAATAATTGTACTTTCAACATTGCTTCTTCAAAGTTGATATTTTTCGAGCGGAGCCAATTTTGAACATCAACTTTCCTTGAAGCCGTTGTTGGGACCTTCTCCATTCTTCGAGAATGATAAGGCGCGTTATCCAACACAATTACTGCGTTTTCCTCTAAGTTCGGTAAAATTTTTGAAAACCACTGTACAAACGATTCGCCATTCATTTCCTCGTGGTAATCTGCAGTTTTCTTAGACTCAAAGCACCACAGACCGTCAACAACAAATCCATCCTCACTGCCAATATGGCAGATAATGAGCCTTTTACCTTTACCTGGAAATCGAAGTACTAACTGGTGTAGATTTATTTCAATAAGCGAACCTTTTTCAAATGTTTTCATCACATTCAGCGAAAACACATTGAGACATGAGTATCAGATTGCTATAATTGGGATTATTTAGTCATATTGAAAGAAAGAATATTGAACGTCGTATGATTACTCAGCGCTTCACAATTTAATTTAAAGTTATAAACCTTTAAAAAATGAATGATCAGGAACCTGAAATACGCGCAAATATTAATATTAACAAATTATAACTTTATAAAGCTTAAAGTATGAATTAAAATGATTAGAAATATTAGGAACGGTACACAATATAAAACTTAGTAACTTTTTTTAAGTTTATAATATTCGACATATTTTAAGATTGTATTAAAACATTATTGAAATATCGAAAACACATAAAAACATGGCTTAAAAAAGTTCTAACAAATGAAAATGACAATAAAACACCCACGCATTTTATCGAAAGTTATAAAAGTTTTGTTAGTTGTAATATGTTTTATCTGCCCCCTGGAATTAATGTTTAGAACCTTGTTCCCAAGGTTTGAAAAACATCCGATTGTTGTCTGTTACTCGTATTTACCTGCTGGATTTTTTAATCCGGTGGACAGTCCATCTAGAAAGGCCCTCCTGGATGAAGTTACAGAATCATCAACCCATACTTTACTTGTAGTGTGTCCTGCGTTTACCCACGTTTCATCAATGTAATAAATCTTCCTGTTTTGATTTCTATATTTCCCAATTTTTGTTAAATAATCCCTCCTCCATAGCACAATTTCTTCTCTATCCAGTAGTAAACTATTACGACCCCGTTTTTTCCATTTGAAATTTAAATGCTTCAGTAACGCATGGAAAGTTGAACGTTTGAAATTTGGCAACGTTGTATCTCCATTTACCTCCTGCAGTACTTTATCTATAGTAGGTATTTCATTCCTAAAGAAGAATCTATGCACTTTCCTCTTAATCGCATGCTTATCAGCTTCATCCAATGATTTAACAATACTTTTGGGATGTTTACTGGTCATTGGCTCAGAAAACGTGTGATTTTTTTTGTATTGTCTTAACACATTAAACACTGATGCGCGACACACCCCAACTTTGTGAGAAACCTTCACAACAATTTCTTTGATGGTTGATGCCTCGTTCTCCTCGCGCTCGATCTTATATATATTCAAAATGACCTCTTTCATTTCTGCACTCAGGTGTCTTATTTTAGAGCGTTTCCTAGGTGGGCTACAGGAGTTTACAACTTCATCGGCAGTATCTGTACTACTGGGCATTTGCGCAATAACAACGACAAACTCAACAACTTAATAAGATAACAAACGAAAACGTCCAAAGAAATATCAAATTGCAATGATGCACACGACATACGTAACACGTCTGAACCTGAATGTGACTCTGCCTTGATACGACTGCTCTGCCGCTCGGCATAGGCATTTAATTGCGAATTGACCAATGAGGGCTCCTGTTTTACGTCGAGACGGCGGCGTTAGCGTGAAAATCACCCGAACCTTTTGTTTACATCCGGTCTATCTCTTATCTGGATATACTGTAGCTTAAAACATTTACTGTCGCGCCACTGCCTGTCTCCCGTCCGTACCGACAAACGGTAGACGCGGCTTCCTCTAAAATTTGCCTTCAATTTTGATATCAGACTATAGTTTAATCATTATATGGACCTCTACCCTTTAGTTTCTCGTAATCTCATGATTATACAACAAATTCTTATGTGAGCAAGATGATCAATAATTTAATTTTCAACCAAATTGCTTGTGTTACTTTTCACATAGGATCGATGGCTTTCGAGATATTTGATTAAACAAGTTTACCAAAATGGCGGCATAGCAGCATACTATGACGCCAATTTAAATTTATCATGAGGAAATAACAATCTAACGATACCAAATTTAGCGTCACCCAGACTGTAGGATTTTTTTATACAAAATCTCTATAATTCTTGACCTATTGTACGTTGGACTGATTCTTGGTGGCGACAGATGGTACTTGCGTGGTAGCTACCTCTAAAACATTCATCACATGATCCTAAATATATTTATCATATGCTGACAGTTACCTAAAAGTTGCATACTGCCACTAATTTAGCCTGGTCGCCACATACCTCGATAGTTTCTAATCTGTTTTAAGCTCCGCATTTTGCCGAACATCAGAACAGAGTGAGCTTATAGTTTGCCTATGGTGCGACAGCATTTGCCTTCTGCAACTAATATTCCACACTGCCGTTATCTATTAAAGTCCTTTTGTCTTCGCATTCGAATCCATACTTTCAACAACTAATCCAAAGCCGTTATCACCAGGCCCAATTCTCAACTAATCCCAGTCTCTAGCTTTACTGCACTGTCTCCACCACAATACCACAGCAGTTCGGCGTGGGCGTATATGTGTTAGTCTGGTCATTATGGAGAGCAAGTACACAAAATTATTAAGGGAGAAAATGGTCTGATAAAAAGTCTCACAATAGGTTTCTTGACACAAATCTAATTTCATAGAATAAAAATTCGTATTTCTTACAGTATCTGACATAGGAAAACAAAAATTGATTCCAATTTTTAAAAGCGCAAGATGGATATATAAGTCCAATTTAAAACATGTATGTTTTTTTATTTTTAATACGAAACGGTAAACAAACTATGGGCCCCGATGTGACGTCATACAAGTTGTAAACAAAGACAAGTCATCCGAATGTTACTTGTGAACTAATTTTTGCTCATTTAAGGGTTTTTAAAAAATCAATGTGAGACATTGCCGTTTTCTCGTTTTAATGAAAACACAATCATGGAAGATGGATTCGTAAGAGCAGAAGTATAAGTTTGCCGAAAATTGACACGTTGGTGGTTGACAATTTTTTTACTTCCAAACCATATTTCTGCTCCACTGAGCTGAGCAACATCAAGACTTCTGTGTAAGTACAGTGCGTCTGATATATTCAATATTAATATTTGACCCCTCAATTGGACCAATAGGAAAAGACCTTATCGAAATGAAATCTGACGGAAGCTGTCAAAGCTCTCTGAATATCAGTGATTTCTATTGAAATGTTGAATAAAGTCGTGAAAAGACGGTTGCCTGATAAAAAAGAGTACATTATAGATGTAATATTATATCTTTGTGCTTTATAATTAGGATAACTTTCACAGAATTTCAAATTTTTATCATTTCACAAATGGAGCAATGAAATGAGAGAAATAATAGGTCGATTTTCTAGCTATTATATTTAGTATAACGTCTTCACTGTTTTTGACTACTGTTCATGTATGGCAATCTAGTTTTGTCTGTATATCACGTACAGGTTGTTGTACATAATACGTACCTGTAGAAATGTACCGATTTTTGTTATTTCGCAAAAAAAGAATATAAAACGTATTCCAAATGGTTCATCATCTTTTGTTACATCAAAAACAATTTTTGTCAACCTATGATCTAGAAATTCACACCAAATGTAAACTAACAGCACATTCTGCGTTTCTGGCTCCAAAAACATCGATATTTGTAAAAGTATCTGCATCCACCTATAATTAATTCATCGTCTACGAGCTCCATCCCACTTCAGTTGGCCCAACTATTGAAATCTTAGTTTTTTTCTTATCATACACAAATAATAAAAATGTAGCAGGGTGTTATAGGTTTAAAATATTAACAATGAATATTTTGATAATATATAGTAGAAAACACCAACTTTATCACTCCCTAATCAAATTTGCAGCATAAAAATAACACATGTTGCAATTACAGCATATCAACCGATTTCCATTTCAATGCAAAATAAGTCTATAACGCAGAGGTGGCAGTGAGAAATAAAAGCCATGACAATTGTTTTTATTAATCACAGCTGACAGGATACGTTTAAAATAGTTTTGGGTAGTTAAGGTTTTCAAAATGAGTAGAGGAAAGGTTATTAGTGAGAAAATTCGGTTACTGATAATTAAATTTTTTAGTTCTGGGAAATCAAACCCAGAAATTGCAACTTTGTTAGACTTATCGCAGTACAGTGTGAGAAATATTGTTAGAAGATATAACTGGTTCAGCTAATATTAAGCCACGATATGTGAAAAAAACTAATATCACAAATGCCGACCGAAGAGCATTAAGAAGAATAATCGTGAAAAATTATTGTGTCAATTATTTACAATTAAGTGCTCTGTGGAATGACGCTGTTGGAAGGAGTATTTCGAGGTCCAAAACTCATAAAGAGGCCCACAAACGGGGATTTAGCACTTGCAAGGTAAGTTTTCTTATAGTTTTTTTTTATTAATGGCCTTAGGAGTTCTAGCCTATTCGGCCACGAGAGTGATATAAACATGCTCAAATTTATAATAAAACATATAGATCCGCTGCTAGCAATATTGTATAGATCCGCATACATACAGGTAACAGGTACCTACTCAAAACCAGGAAATTATAATAGAAGAAACAAGATTAGGGAGGAACGGGGATACACGTTTCACGTCAAGGTGCCGGTCATGACGACTTTAAAGACAGACAACACAGGCAACGGTTGGTAGGTTTAATAACAGATAGGAAAAAACACAGGTAAAAATAACTCAAGTCACACAACAATCTCACTGAATTCTAAATTCGGGTAACTCGTTAATTATATTTTCCGTCTGGCTATCTTGAAGAAGTCCCATAGAATTTTTCGAATTGATGAATTGCGAGTGCTTGAATACAGAAGGGAGGTTTGACTTCGAGGAAATGGAACGCCAAGTGTAGCCAGCTAACTCATCATATAAACTGAAGCGGTTGAGTTGAATTTGCATTGGAACAACCAATGATTGATATCATCCCTATTCCCATCACAGCTACATGTATCCGATTCTTCGAGACCAAAGCGGTGCAGGTAAGCTTTTACTGTAGCATGTCCGACCAAACATCTGAAGTACATTGGGTGTACTCTCCTATTGACGTGGCTTCTGAGCTCTATTGGGGTGTCAGGGAGGTTTGGATAAATTTTGCAGTATTGGTTATTATTGTTGGTACAGAAATTAGTCCATTCCGCTTGCCAGCTCTTTTTCATATTAAGCTTCCTCGACGAGGCTATGTCAGTTTTAGTTACGTATTGTTTTCCTTCTCCGGACGAGGCGGCTGCCTTAGCCAGTCGATCTGCCATTTCATTCCCCTCAATTCTTGCATGACCTTTTATCCATATAAATGCCACAGATTTCCTTAGTTGTCTTAATTGAGACTCCTTCTCCAGTATTGAGACGATGGTTTTGTTGTGGTATATGTGAAAAGGCGCATTTTGTAATGCGCGTATAGCTGATTGTGAGTATGACATTACAATGGATTTTTGGTATGACGGACGATTGTAGACTACCCACTCAAGAGCCAATGGCAAGATGGTACATACAGGTAAACGGTGGCGGGAAAAAATACGACGGCAGATTTTGAGGGGGATATGTCAAGCCCCTGGTTGAAAAAATAATCGTTGCAACCATGCATTACAACGTTGAGCATGTCAATGCATTGTTGATACACTTTATTCTTAACATAGAAGCAGAAGTCATCGGCGTATTGCAAGACATTGCAGTCCAACCCCGCAGTATGTAGGTCCTGAGTATATATGTTGAAGAGAAGGGGGCTTATAACGGAACCTTGTGGAAGGCCCTTATGTACTGTTCTTGGGCCAACGACTTGACTGTTACATCGGATATAAACCTTCCTGTTAATGAATAGATTGATTAGGACACATACGTAGCTCTGAGGTAAGTTCAGTCTAAGCAATTTATCAAAAAGAATCTTGGGTATGACATTGTCATAGGCACTGGAGATGATATCTACAAAGAGAGATGCTAGGTAGTTATTTTCAGAAAAGGTTATCTGTATATCGCTCACTAGATGCGCTACGCAATCGACAGCCCCTTGTCCTCTACGGAAGCCAAACTGTGATGTTGGGGGAGTGTTGTTGCTTTCCAACCACCATTCAAGCCTTGCCTTCAAGATCCTTTCAAACGTTTTCAAAAGGCAAGACATTAGAGAGACTAGTCTACAAGAATTGGGGTCGCTTGCTTTGGGAATCGGAATGATGAAAGCGGCTTTTATGGTATCGCAGTTTTCTCCTAGGATAAGAATACGGTTATAGATATTGCATAGAAAGTCTACCGCGACCTGCGGTAAATTTTCTATCATAAGGTAGTTGATACCATCAATTCCTGGAGATGTCAGTAAAAAGTGAAGTAAAAACCCTAAAGTTGCACAACCTGTTTATAGGCCAAAGAAAAGTCACTATTAACTCCACTGCAAAAGAAAAATCGGCATAGATGGGCTAAAGAATATAGACAATGGACACCTCAACAATGGTGTGCAATACAATTCAGTGATGAGGCCCGATTCGAAGTTTGTGTTGGTGACAGTCACAGTAGGGTTATTCGCAAAAAAATTGAAGCATTCCATGTTGACTGTCTGAAGAGAAAAGCGAAATTTCCAGCATCCATTACGGTCTGGGGCAGTACGTCATCAAAATGAGTAGGAAAACTTCATTTTATTTACGGAAATCTGGATACAAACAAATATCTGACAATTTTAGAAGAATCGCTTTTACCAGTGATGGAAGAATGTTTGACATCCGGCCAAGATTTTGTGTTTCAGCAAGATGGTGCAGCGTCCCATACCTCAAAAAAGGCTCTAAAATGGATGGAAGAAAATAATGTACCACTTTTGAAATGGGTTTCTAGCAGTCCAGATCTGTCACCTATTGAAACTTTGTGGCACGAGATGAAAAGGGTTCTACGACAACATCCTGCTCGTACAATCACCGAACTGAGACTAAAGCTTCAAGAAATATGGGATTTTTTACACCAAATTTTTGCTAAAACTTGGTTAACACTATGCCTCAAAGAATTTCAGTCGCAATAAAAGATAGAGGTGATGTTACCCAATAGTAATCTTTCAATTGTTGCTTTGTTAACTTCGCGCATTTATTCGCACATTGTTTATTTGTTCAGATGTTCTATAAGTTATAGGTCTAAGTGATTTCAAATATGTATTTTTTACGACTAGGGTGTATCTAAAAGGTTTTTGAGAAAAAAATTGTTTTAGAAGTAAATAGTTTCGGCATGTTTAGTTTATAAAGTCATATTTTGGTACAAATCTTGAAGTGGGCCAACTGAAGTGGGAAGGGGCTCGTATATATATAAAAAGGTGTTTCAGAACTAAGGGATCACACTTCTAGGGGTTATTCAGTGCAACAGTAGAAAACATTTGAGTATAGGGACCCATATCCGGAAAAGTGTCACTACGGCCATAAAATTTGGAAAGACGATGAATTGCCTAAATAGATTTTAATGCATTTAATGTTTGCCTTTTGTGCATGATATCATCACAACAACTGTTCAAACTATCTTCCTCCAACCTGAATACACCGATTTAATCGTCGCACATGATTTCGGCGGACTTGACTAAAAATATGATACCCGTTTTGAATGATTTCAAATGCCGCTGTAATTCGTCCAATTAAGTCTTGATCTGTTTCTACTGGAGTTTCGTAAACCAAAGATTTTCCATGTCCCCACAGAAAAAAATCTAGCGACGTTAAATCGGGTGACCTAGGAGGCCAAGAAACTGCTCCACCTCTGGCAATCTAATGATAATCAACAATGCCTGCCCATATGTTGACAGACCAACGATGCTGATATTTTCTAGGAAAAATTGCATAGGGATTTTCTTTGTCCTAAAAAGGATAAAGTTGTCGCTCGTGTAGCACCTGCCAGATGGAAAGGTTACCCGTATTCATATCCTCAGCAATGTGACATGTGCTACTTGATGGTTCGTCGGCAACTCGTTGAAGGACCTATTCTTCAAATTCGACCGTTCTTACGGTTCGAGCAACACCAGTGTCATGCATGTTGGTTTTAAACGTGCCTGTCTCGGAGAGCCGCCGATGAATAGCAATAAACTTTTTGTATCCCGGATACGTTCGGGATCACGTTCTTGATACAACCGCGCTGCTGTTCGTGCATTGCAGCTTGTTGCTCCGTATGCCAAATGTAGAGGAAGGATGCCTAATATCCGATAGGTTCCGAATATCGGGCAGCGGTTTATTAGACGAGCTACTTCAGCCATCTACTGTTATAATGACCAACATGTAACAGGAACCACAGTAAATGCAACCTGTAACGTTCATATGTTTTTGTGACCTTCATTCTTTCCACAAACACGGGAAGTGTGTGAAATCCGCCACGAATATTTTGAGAGTTAACTAAATTGGTGTTTTCATGAAAAGGTAGGTCTGTTTTTGTTTGTTTTTATGTTCATATGTCTTCTGTAGGCTTGCAGCCAACCACTAGGGATTAGAAAAATGTCCCTTTCGATTTGCTTTTTAAGATATATTGTCGTAATATTTTGAGGTTATGTTTCCTTATATCGGGCATGTAAAGATGCCAAATATCGGATACCCGATATAAGGAACACTTGATGTTGTGACGTAGATATTGTTTCATTATATTGAAGTTATAATTATTAAGCATCTGTTTATTCACAGATACCTCCAAAAAAAAGAAAGCAATGGAATGTAGAAGCGATGAAGAGGGCAGTAGAAGCAGTTAAGAACAAGGAAATGGGAACTCTCAAGGCGTCTAAAGCATTTGGCGTGCCCAAAAGCACACTGATTGATTATGTAATTAGTAAGAAACCGGTTGATATATCACTTGCTATCAAATTAGGCAGAAAACCTACTTTAACAAATGAACTTGAAGAATCACTAGTTGAGTATGCTCTTGAAATGGAAAGAAGGTATTTTGGTCTCCGAGCGTCAGATGTAAGAAGACTAGCCTTTCAGCTGGCGATACGTAATGGGCTTAAGCATCCTTTTTCTTTCCGAAGTGCCGCTGCTGAAAAAAAAATGGTTGAAATCGTTCATGTCAAGACACTCAAAATTATCTTTCCGAAAACCACAGGCAATTTCTGCAGCCCGTGTTAAGGGTTTTACAAAAGAGAATGTTCAAGCATTTTTCAACCTCCTTGGTAGCGTTTTGCCAAAAGTTGGCTTTAATCCAGCAGCAATCTATAATGTTGATGAGACTGGTATTACGACAGTACAACACAAACATGCCAAAGTGATAAGTTTGAAAGGAAAAAGGCAAGTTGCAGCTTTAACTGCTTCGGAACGGGGTGCTTTAGTAACTATTGTAACGTGTATGAACGCTGTCGGTCGTTACATACCACCAATGTTGGTGTTTCTCCGCAAAAATATGAAGCCTGAGTTTCTAAATGGAGCTCCCCCTGGGTCCGTTGCCAGATGTCATCCATCGGGATGGATTCAGCAAGACATTTTTACAGACTGGCTGAGGCAGTTTATTTTACATGTAAAACCTAGCGAATCCGAACAAGTTGTCTTGATATTAGATGGACACTATTCTCATTCAAGGAATATTGATGTTATCAACATTGCCAGAGATAATTTTGTCCATATTATCTGCCTACCTCCCCATTCTACAAATAAGTTACAACCACTCGATGTCTCCTTTATGTCACCTTTCAAAACTTATTATGCTGCTGAAATTGAAACATGGCTTAGAGCAAATCCAGGGAGAGTTGTAACTTCCTATCAAATATCGGAACTAATGGGAAGAGCCTATTTAAAAGCAGCGAGTTGTGAAATTGCAGTGAATGATTTTAGAAAATGTGGAATATTTCGATTCCAGCCGACAATCATCCGAGATGACGAATTTGCCATCCATTCTTCAAATGAAAGACAATCAGTCGAAGGAGATAATGACGAAAATCAGATTGCTGTGGATCCTGCTGTTGCTGAAAAATTAAGAAAAGAAAGAGAAACTACACCACCCATTTCGACACCTAAGCTCGTTATACCTCAGGATATTTGTCCTATACCTAGCCTAAAGACAAAACATCAGTCTCCAAGGCCAGGTTGTTCGGGTGAAGCTTCTAAAAAAGGAGGTAAACGTGGTTCAACAGCTATCCTCATTTCTACGCCTTATAAGACAGATTTAGAAGAGAGCTTGACGACATGGACCAAAATGATGTCGATGTGGAATGCTTTTATTGTTCCAACTGGTTCTCTGAAGATATTTCTGGATCCAAGTGGGTCCAATGCATGAAGTGTCTGCGTTGGTGTCACGAAGATTGCTCAGATATAGGCAAGGAGAAATCATTTATTTGTGAATTATGTTTAGATGGATAAATACTTGTTTCTTTTGAACTTTATTCTCTGGTTATTGAGAAATAGTTATTTTATTTGTTGTATTCTCCTGTGTCTTACTGTAAAATAAAATATTTTAGATAGCCAGTATTGCTACTTTGCATTTTTTAAAGAAGTTGTAGCCTAATATCGGGCACCCGATATTTGGAATCGACTACTACCCGATATTAGGCAACCTTTCTTAATTTAAGGAAATGACACCATTTACGAATTTTCTGAATAACAGCAACTGTGTTTAACTAATTTTAATTCTTGTAAAACAAAACTAGGCACAATGAGCAATAAATATGTCAACCAATTAACTTTTGGGAATGAATAGAAAAGTTTTACTGAACATTTTTAAAAAGGTACCCGATAATAGGCGTCCTTCCTCTATTTTCACCAATTCTTGATTGTTGAAGTTTTCCATTAGCAACAATTATTTTTTTTTAAATTCTTGCAAATTTCACAAATACGATATCACGACTAAGATGGTATGGAATGCAACTACAAAAAATAATCTCTGTTATCGTATTTAAAGATAACAACACACAAGCTCTGGAAATGGGTCCCTATACTCAAATGTTTTCTATTGTTTCACTGACTAACTCCTACAAGTTTGATCCCATAGGTCTGAAACACCCTGTATACATATATAGGATGTGTTCATTTTTTATTGATCACAAATTAAAATAAATAAGCTAAAAAATGTTGGGGTATATCTGCACCCCACTCGGTAATTAATGTAAGTTCTTGACCACGGGCGTATGAAAGTTAATTTGTATTACTCAGTGTATATGATGGTTCTCTAAATATGGTTCTCTAAATATTTCCTCAAGTAGCTTTACTCAGTACTTATAACCCATCGATACACAGCAGTTGCGGAATGACAACCCGACATAAATGAGGAACATGAACATGTGTGTTAAACGTCTTTAAGCAAC